GTCAAATGGTCCGTGGGGGTTATTATGAGGAACAAACGAGAAATGTTTCAGAACCTATGACTTGCTACACACACGTAAGATTTCAGTCCCGGACAACGGGTGACTGGTGCCTTACCCCCCGACCCCAGTTTATTAGACCCTGAGCCTTTGGCAGGAAATGCAACCTATAACGCATCTGTCCCTTGGAGCTTCTGGGAGTGGTTTGTTTAAATCCGGCATATCGTGTTTCCATGTCTGTGTATCACACGATGAGGTCAACCCAGGTAAACACAACGTGACTGAGATTTACGCCAGACTGCAGGCACGCTACGAAGCGATCGAGCGATGAACGACAAAGAAAAAGAAAGACGCCATGGAGAGCTATGCGTGACAGCAGGAGGCAGGACCGGTCTGCAGCGAGTGGCAGCCGATAAGGGTAGCCCAACTCGTTAAAATACCGGAGGAAAGCAGCATGCCTCATAAAAGTGATACCATCAGCCTGGGAATTTCAGGAAGAGAAAAAAAAAATGACTGCAGAAGACGGCAGCTTTTCTGCTAGGACGACTGGACCTTTCATTTCACAAGGCACTTAAAAAAAAAAAAATCGAGTGACTGTGACCTGGATCCGTCCAGAACCAGAATAGCGACCTGGGCCCGTGCAGTCTGGGTGGATAAATGTGAACTGAATACTGAACGCTCGAGCCGACTTCCCCATCACCTCATTTAAGCCTCGCGAAACCGGGCGGCCCCTCTGTTTGCAGGAGAGCTGAGCAGCCCGTGCAGGTGGCGCAGCTACCGCGGAGTTAGGACTCATACCCTGGTCTCTTGACTATGCGTCCTGACCTCCACTGTACCTTGTCACCTGGATTTTCTTGCATCTATTTTGTCGTTAGGTCTGAGATAAAAATTACTTTCCCTTGGATATACAGGACTGCACGCCAGGGAGTGAGAAATCTTGGGACCGTCTTAGAATTCCGCTACCACGATTTCCTTAATGCATGAATGAATGGAAGACACATTGCCTGGACGTCAGAAAAACTGAATCTCGTTGCTAGCCAGATGTTTGACTTTTGGAAAACCCTCGACTTCTCTGAACAACTTTTTCTTCCCATCCGTACAGTATGATAATCGAGCCTCATGTTTCGGTATTAAAGATCAGTCTGCATTTGATGTATTATAGTTAGGAGAGTATGTTACTTTATGCATCTTCAACAAAATGAATCTTTTAAAAATTACTTTCCCGGCCGGGCGCGGTGGCTCACGCCTGTAATCCTAGCACTCTGGGAGGCTGAGCGGGCGGATTGCTCGAGGTCAGGAGTTCGAAACCAGCCTGAGCAAGAGCGAGACCCCGTCTCTACTATAAATAGAAAGAAATTAATTGGCAACTATATATAATAAATTAGCCGGCACGGTGGCACATGCCTGTAGTCCCAGCTACTCGGGAGGCTGAGGCAGCAGGATTGCTTGCCAGGAGTTTGAGGTTGCTGTGAGCGAGGCTGACGCCACGGCACTCACTCTAGCCTGGCAACAAGCGAGACTCTGTCTCAAAAAAAAAAAAAAAAAAAAATTACTTTCCCTAAAAGTGTTCGTGTCTTTGAGGTTGGTCATGAGCTCACAGACTATCAACAGGTAGAAGCAGAACTCCATAGCATTAATCCCCGAAACTCCGCTTAGGCGCTTAGTTAGGTAAATGACAGGACAGGCAGGCTGCACAATCATTTCAAAGGTGAGCTGCTAATGTCCGAAAAAGCCCGGAACAGATACAGAGAGAAAGCAAACGAAAAATAGCTCCCTACGCTGTCTGTAACCTTTCAAGGGCGTACGTAGGCAATGTGTGAAGGCGTGGTTTTTTATAAAAGCTCAGGATGGGTGGCCCTTAGGACAGGGAGAGAGCTTGGCTGGAAAAGGCGCAGGTAGTTTAGGGGACATGCATTTTGGAGGAAGGAATATCAGTAACAACCGAGACAGAGCTTCCCCCTGAATAAAAAAAAGGATAGCACGGGAATAACGAGCCGTAGTGCCCCAAAACTGGTGCTCTAGTTGGAGATTTCTGTGCGGGTCCCACCCAGGTACAAGGGCGGTTCGGAAGCGCGCTTAGAGATCTATAGGTCAGTGTTCCGGGATGATGTGAGGTGGCGGTGGGATGCAGGGAGAACTGGATAGACTGTTTCAAATCTGGATTTTCTTGGACAAATGTGTCTTTGATCACTGAAAGTATGACCTTTGAATACCACAGGCCAACCTGCGAGCGTGCTGCGAAACTAACAGCAGGTCCTGGTTGCAGTTAACTCGACATGAAGGAGGTGATGTCGGCATCTCGGGCAACTTTGGAACTCAGGAAAGAGTCACCCCACTTCTTTTGTTTGACATCCCAGCAGTTTCTACTCCCTGTCGGTGGGATGTTCTGGGATTCCTTGTACAGCCAGTGTCCTCAGGCTGGGTGTGCAGGCGAACTCGCTCCCAGGACGGGAGCTGGGTGAATGTCCCATGAGCAACGAGGACGTGGAAACCTCCCCGGTCACCCTTCGAGAGCGTAACACACAGAACAAACGAGAAAAGGAAGAGGGAGGACACCGAAATGCACTGCCGCTCTTTGAATTCGTAGCTCGAGCCCCATTCCAGGGCAGCCTCATTTTTTTGGTAGACGCAGGCTTGCTGGTCTCTCTGCAAGTTCTGCTGACTCTTTTTTTTTTTTTTGAGACAGAGTCTCACTCTGTTGCCCAGGCTAGAGTGCCGTGGCGTCAGCCTCGCTCACAGCAGCCTCCAACTCCTGGGCTCAAGCGATCTTCCTGCCTCAGCCTTCCGAGTAGCTGGGACTACAGGCATGCGCCACCATGCCCGGCTAAATTTTTCTATATAAATATTAGTTGGCCAATTAATTTCTTTCTATTTATAGTAGAGGCGGGGTCTCGCTCTTGCTCAGGCTGGTTTCGAACACCTGACCTCGAGCGATCCTCCCGCCTCGGCCTCCTAGAGTGCTGGGATGACAGGCGTGAGCCTCCATGCCAGGCCTCTGCTGACTCTTAAGCAGCCTAAGAGGTCAGTAGGGACGAGCCTCCATTCAAACACTTTCTATTTAAGGACAGACTCCCTCGGCAGGCGAGGCCGCGAGCCAACGCCCATTCGATTGGAGCGCCCACGCCAAGCCAGCTTTTGTTTTCGCCTCTTCAGAAAACAGTCCCATAGGCATGACTTTTCTTTTCTGTACCGAGCACTTCCTCTGTGAGCGAGGGGAGGCCCAGGGGAGGTCGAAGGGAGGCCGGGAGTAGGCCGGCCAGCCTGGGCGGAGGGCACAAGCTACGACTCAAAGGCGGCAGGTGGAGGAAATGAACAGGAGAGCAGAGCATGCAGGTAGGGACTGCCCGTCTCCATTGCAGTCACAGAGTCACGTCAGAAGAAGGCTCGGAAGGTCACACCGGGAGGCAGGCCCCCCACCCGGGCCTCCTAGAAGCCCCTGGGGCCGCAGTGAGGAGGTGGACGCCACTACTGCTGGGGACAGGTGGCAGCCCGGCCGCCCCTCAGAGAGAGGTCATGTCGTTGAGGGCATGGTCCGGCTCCTCGCTGATGGCTCTGTGCCTGAGCTTCTGGCGTGTACAGGGCCACGTGTACAGGGCGGAGGTCCCCGGGGAGAGAGAGTTCGGAAGAAGAGAGGTACGGGGGACAGAACGCGAGGGTCGGGATGGAGCGTCACGCATGAGCAACCAAAGGAAACAAACAAACAAAAAGGTGAGGAAACAAAGCATGCACCGGGAGAAAGTCGTGCCCTGCGTCAAACAAATGGAAAAAAAAGAAAGAAAGCCAAGAGATCTACAGAGAGATTTCTAAGCGGCCTGCGGTTCTGCAGGGGACTGGCCACGATGAACCTCGAGAAGAGTGGAGACCTTTGGAAAAGGACAGAGCTGTCCCCAGCCAGCCCCCACCCACCCCCAATCAGAAAATCATTCCTGATTCCCAGTGATGTCACCCAGTGCAAAGGTCACGCTTCGGAATGGGGCATTTTGTCCTTATATGGAAACCTCACTCCCAAACCAAACGCTGGGACTCCCGGGCTGAAGAGTGAGTGTTTGCGCCCTTTGGGGGGCGGGGCCGGGCGGGCAAGTTTGGGAGATTTCATGTGAACCTCCAGATCGGGAATTTCCGGGGCTGAATCACCAAGAACCATGGGACAGAAGTTTTAAAACGGGACCTCTCCAAGGAATCCGGGGGTTATGTGGGCACCAGGCTTGGGGGGGCCACAGTCTTTATTCTTTGTGTTTCTGTTTTCTCATCTTGTGTGGATAAGCTTTGAGCTCGCTGGGCAGAAAGCTTCTGCAAAAATGTAAGGCATTTGAAAAAAAAAAAATGCAAGGCATCTCTCAGAAACCAGCAAACCAAAGGAAATTCTAAAGAGGTTTTTTCATTTTTTTTTTTTGAGACAGAGTCTCACTCTGTTGCCCAGGCTAGAGTGAGTGCCGTGGCGTCAGCCTCGCTCACAGCAACCTCAGACTCCTGGGCTCAAGCGATCCTCCTGCCTCAGCCTCCCGAGTAGCTGGGACTACAGGCATGCGCCACCATTCCCAGCTAATTTTTTCTATGTATGTTTTTAGTTGGCCAATTAATTTCTTTCTATGTATAGTAGGGACGGGGTCTCGCTCTTGCTCAGGCTGGTTTCAAACTCCTGACCTTGAGAGATCCTCCCGCCTCGGCCTCCCAGAGTGCTGGGATGACAGGCGTGAGCCACCGCGCCCGGCCTTGTTTTTTTTTTTCTTTAAGCAGAGAGAGCCGCGTTGTAATGGAGGCTCCGCACACCCGCACGTGCGGCTAGTGTAGGCGGAGAGCTCGTGCTCCCTGGAAATGGGAACTCAAGTCTGAACCTGGTTTGCACCGTCCCACCCCGGGACTCCAGATGTGACCTCGCCACTCCCCACTCCGCTCCCCCGAGGCGAACAAACCCCGGTGACTCGGCTCCTCCCTGCGGACACGCCCCCCCAGCTGTTGCCTGCGGACATGTCACCCAGGGAGGGGACAACGCGATTCCCTACCTTCCAGGTCATCGATTGTCTTTTCCAGTTTCGAGACCGTCCTCTCGGCAAACTCCGCACGGGTCTCAGCCTGGACAGGAGGAAGGGAGTCAGCGCCGCCGCAGAGTCTCCCGCCGGCCCCGGGAGGAACCCGCGCCGGGTAGGGGCGACCCCACACTCACCTCTTTCAGCTTGTCCGAAAGAAGTTTAATTTCTTCCTCGTATTTGTCCTCCTTTTCAGAATACTGGGGGAGAAAACCGAAATATCGCTTTCAGAAAAGGAGGGGAGAGGCCGGGCGCGGCAGCTCACTCATGCCTGTCATCCTGGCACTCTGGGAGGCCGAGGCGGGAGGATGGCTCGAGGTCAGGAGTTCGAAACCGGCCTGAGCGAAAGCGAGATACCCCGTCTCTAGTAAAACTAGGAAGAAATTAATTGGCCGACTAAAACTATGCATAGAAAAAATTAGCCGGGCATGGTGGCGCATGCCTGTAGTCCCAGCTACTCGGGAGGCTGAGGCAGGAGGATCGCCTGAGCCCGGGAGTCTGAGGTTGCTGTGAGTGAGGCTGATGCCACAGCACTCTAGCAGGGACAACGGAGTGAGACTCTTGTCTCAAAAATAAAAAAAAATAAAGAAAGAAAGAAGAGGAGGGGATGGGGAAAAAAAAAAAAAGCACGAAAGAAGGCAGGTTCTCTGTTCCGTGGACAAAGCGTGTGCACGAAGCGCTGTGCACGTGCCCGAGAGAGGCAGGCCCTCGCCGGCACAATCTCTTGTGCAAGGCGGAGACTCCACCGCCGGGCCCTCCACCGTGGCATCGACATGAAGGCCTGAGCCGGTGGTTTGAGAGAGAAAGACGACAGAGCGGGGCAGAGCCCTGGAGACACAAGCCCCACCTAAGGCCCCGCCCAGCGCTTGGCCCCGTGTTCCCGGACCCCGTTCCCCCGCCACCCCTGCACGTGTTCCGCAGAGCCCTGCCCCAGCCCCGGTCGCGGACGTGGCCCGTCCCTCAGCACGGAGCACCCCTCCCCAGGACCACCCCTGGGAAATGACCTCTGTCTTTCAGAGCTCAACCCAGCGTCACAGCAACTGACACCTACCAGCCGCGCCAGGGGCCGGACCCGGCGCCGCGGCCAGATGCTGTCAAGCCCGTTTGGCAGACGGGGAACGAGTCACAAAAAGGTTGTTTGTCTGGGGGCACCTGGCTGTTAAGTGGCAAAGCCCTGACTTGGGGCCTGACCCTGGAATCTGTGATCCCAGCCACCACCGGTCACCTCCACTCCTCGGCAACCCCTTCCCAGCGTGCAGAGGTCCCTCTGTTGTGCTCTCAGAGAAATCTGTCACCCGGTCAACCCTCTTCCACTAGATTGGACTCCGACCTCTTTAAGAGCAAAAGCCGAGGCCGGGCGCGGTGGCTCATGCCTGTCACCCTAGCACTCTGGGAGGCCGAGGCGGGTGGATCGCTCGAAGTCAGGAGTTCGAAACCAGCCTGAGCAAGAGCGAGACCCCGTCTCTACTAAAAATAGAAAGAAATTAATTGGCCAACTAACAAAATATATAGAAAAAATGAGCCGGGCATGGTGGCGCATGCCTGCAGTCCCAGCTACTCGGGAGGCCGAGGCAGGAGGATCGCCGGAGCCCAGGAGTCTGAGGTTGCTGTGAGCGAGGCTGACGCCACGGCACTCACTCTAGCCTGGGCGACAGAGCGAGACTCTGTCTCAAATAAATACATAAATAAATAAACAAAGAGCAAACGCTGGACTATTTACAATAAATTGGGGACTACTTTAAAATACCTACTGTTGGAACGTTCCTAACAGAAAGAAATGACAAACGCTGGAGGTGACGGACACGCCAGCTACCCTGACGTCACGCACATACACTGCACGCCTGCACCACACCACCACAGGCGCCCTATAAACGCACGCCACCACTGCGTGCCCGTAATAATTAAAAATCTAAAGCTAAGAAGGAAAAAAGAGCAGCAGCCGTCTTATCGCCTTGGCGCCCATCCTCCTGGCCCGGGGCGGCGTCTGGGCCACCCGCGGGGGCTGCACGGAAGGCCCTCCTGTCCCAGTGTCCCACAGACGCCGTCACCACGCCAGCAGCAGGGACGCAGCTCTGGGCAAGACAGATAGGGTCCCTCGTCCTTCAAAACTTGCAATCTGGCAAGAACGGCACGCGATTAATTGGGTGTTTATGAGAAACGCGGCGAGCCACACCGGCAGGAAAAGCGGCAGGTGGGGCTCCGCGGCAGAGAAACGCCCAGCGGAGACCAGAGGCCAGGGAGGGGGCGATGGGTCAGCAGAGGCCGAAGGACAGACGGAGGCTCCCCAAGCAAAGGGAGGAAGGAAGGTCGAGCCAGGCTTAGTGCACAGCGATGTCAAAGAACCGTAGGCGGGCCGGGCGCGGTGGCTCACACCTGTCATCCCAGCTCTCTGGGAGGCCGAGGCGGGAGGATCGCTCAAGGTCAGGATTTCAAAACCAGCCTGAGCGAGACCGAGACCCCGTCTCTACTATAAACAGAAAGAACTTAATTGGCCAGCTAATATATATAGAAAAAATGAGCCGGGCATGGTGGTGCATGCCCGTAGTCCCAGCTACTTGGGAGGCTGAGGCAGGAGGATTGCCTGAGACCAGGAGTTGGAGGTTGCTGTGAGCGAGGCTGACGCCACGGCACTCACTCTAGCCTGGGCAACAAAGTGAAACTCTGTCTCAAAAAAAAAAAAAAAAAAAAGACCCCACAGGGGAGGCCCCAGGAGCCCACATGGGGAGTCTGACTCTTCCCGTGGGGACACACCCTGGCCGCTAGGCACCAAAGCTGCGGCTCACAAACAGAGGCCGGACTCCCAACGTCCCGGGAAGGAATGAAGCCCGGCCAGCCGCCCTCCCGCGCCAGCCGGCCACCCACCAACCTTCTCGGAGGCAGCCTCCAGCGACTTCAGGTTGTTAGTGACGTTCCTGAGCTCTTCTTCCAGGTCGCCGCATTTTCTGCACAGAGACAAAGGGTTATTTTGTGTGTGTGCGTGTGTGTGTGTGTGTGCGTGTGTCTGACCTTCCAGCACACGAGCCCCCCCCCAAAAGCGTTTTTCAAAATGAGAAACCTATGCTTCCCCCCCCGGAGGGTGGGGTGGGGGCCCCCAGAAGGAATGTGGGGAGAAATGTGGATGGGTTTTTTTTTCGGGCTGCTTATCGAGGCCCAGTCATACCAGGCAGGGGCGGGGCGGGGCGGGGAGCACTGGGAGGGCGGCAAAGCCCTCCTGGGCGTTGGCCAAGGGGCGAGGCAGCGGGGGCTGGTGAGGTCTGCGTTGAGGAGGCCGGGGCTCTGGAAGGCGTAGGAATGAGACGCAGGGCAGGGGGAGACGGCACGCAGAGCTCACGCCGGACATTCCAGCAAGCCAGCCCGGAGCGGCTCTGCGAAACCGGATCTCTCCCGCACGGCGGGCGCTCCGCGGAGCAGGATTCCTCCGTCTCCGAGCCCGGGATGAGAGGCGTTTTGTGTTTTTAGGAGTTTGCAGGGTCCCCGGCCCCAGGGATGAGTCACGGGCAAACGCGGACCCCAGCAGCAGAGCATGCAAACGCGGAGGGGGGGACGGGACGGGCAGCCCGGCTCCGCCAGCCAGTGCTCTGCCGAGCAGGCGTGGCTCCTGACAGCCCCTCCCCGGGGAAGGGGACTCGTGCGCTTCTCTGCTCCCACCCGCCGCTCAGAGCAGCGAGAACAAGCAGTTGCCGCCACGTCTGTCCACCGTGAAAACAAAAAGGAGGCAAGAGCCACGAGTCTCAGGTGGCCTAGTGGTCAGCGCCAAGTCCTAACACGACCCACGCCGGCCCGCCCTGCGCCCCGCCCAGTCCCGTCCCGCCACTCACAGCTCGGACACCTCGGCCCGCTCCTCTGCCCTCTCCAGCTCGCCCTCCAAGATGACCAGCTTGCGAGCTACCTGCAGAGACAGAGAGGCCCTCCTGAGACCCGTCCCTGCCGCCGCCGCCACCGCTGCGGTGTCTAGCAGGATGTTGGTGGTGCGGACAGCCCCGGCCCTGCGTAGACTGCGCCCTCCTGCTGGGTTTCAACTCCAACAGTCCTGGGCCTGGAGGGAGTGCCCGCCCTCCTCCCTGGGCCCCAGGAGTGAGGCGGACTCGGAGGGGGCAGAGGAGCTGAGGCACGAAAGCGGGCAAAAGGGGGACGGATGGCCGGGCGCGGCGGCTCACGCCTGTCATCCTAGCACTCCGAGGCGGGCGGCTCACTGGAGCTCAGGAGTTCTAGCCCAGCCTGAGCAAGAGCGAGACCCCCGTCTCTACTAAAAACAGAAAGAAATTAGCCAAACAACTAAAAATGGAAAAAAAATTAGCCGGGCATGGTGGCGCATGCCTGTAGTCCTAGCTACTCGGGAGGCTGAGGCAGGAGGATCGCTTGAGCCCAGGAGTCTGAGGTTGCTGTGAGTGAGGCTGACGCCACGGCACTCACTCTAGCTTGGGCAACAGAGTGAGACTCTGTCTCAAAAAAAAAAAAAAAGGGCAGAGTCTTTATGCTTCGAGGATCCGCAGCCAGAGACCACAATCCCAACTGTCCGCCGGACTGTGCCAAAACTCTCGGCCAAAGGACACACGGGGGAGGGGGCCGGCTGGTTTTCCCACCAAAGCGACAAGTGCCCCCAGGACGGTTGGCGAGACACCCTTGTCTCCCGGCCAAGCGGCTGTGTCTGCAGAAGCAGATGTGCTCGCAGAAGGACAGAAGGACGGGGACCTGACCCCGGGCTTCCCTTGGGCGGCCCCCCTCCCCGTCGGGGCAGGGCAGACGCACCCCCGCCCACTCCCGCCGCCCCAGCGCCACTCACCTCCTCGTACTTGCGGTCGGCCTCCTCCGCGATGTGCTTGGCCTCTTTGAGCTGCATCTCCTGGATCTCCATCTTCTCCTCGTCCTTCATTGCCCGGTTTTCTATCACCTTCATCCCCCTGCAGGGAGCGGCCTGGCCGTCAGCACCGCGCTGGCGCCCGCCCGCCTCCCATCTAAGTCTCCGAATCCGCCGGACGGACGGCAATGACCAGAACCCTGCAGCCCCGGCTGTCACCAAGCGCACGGCGATGTCGCCGTTTTTTTTTTTGTTTTTATTTTTCTTTTGAGAAAGAGTCTCCCTCTGTCACCCGGGCCAGAGTGCCGTGGCATCAGCCTCACTCACAGCAACCTCAAACTCCTGGGCTCAGGCGATCCTCCTGCCTCAGCCTCCCGAGTAGCTGGGACTACAGGCATGCGCCACCATGCCCGGCTAATTTTTTTTATTTTCTATTTTTTTCTTTTTTTCCTAGTAGATAGAGACACTCTCACTCTTGACTCAGGCTGGTCTCAAACTCCTGACCTCGAGCGATCCTCCTGCCTCGGCCTCCCAGAGTGCTGGGATGACCGGCGTGAGCCACCGCGCCCGCCCAAGTTCATCTCTACCAGTGGCCAGGCCCTGATCCCCGAGACTGCCCTATGGAGCAAGGCACGCTACCCCCATTTTGCAGATGGAGAAACTGAGTCACAGAGAGAGGGCAAGTCACTTGCTGGAGGTTACAGAGCTGGAACTCACGCCCCGCCCTGACACGCTCCTCTCAGAGACTCGAAATGCGGCGGACCTGTAAGCCGGCAGCTGCCGAGGCGAGAGTCCAGGTCTGCCGGGCTCGCTGTGGCTGGGGGCATGCCGGGGAGCAGCCGGGCTTGGAGGGGACCTCACAGAGGGCGATATTCCAGAGAGGCGACATTTACGCCAGGCGCCCAAGGGCAGGAAGAGCGTCCACAAGTGAACAAGGAGGGGAAGGAAGGGCGTTTTGTGGGGAGAGGGAGCCACGCACCTGGGGACAGGCTCCGAGCTCAGGGTGGCCGGGCCACGGGCAGGGGGGAAGGACCCGCTGGGGCAGGCGTCCCCAAGCTACGGCCCTCGGGCCACACGCGGGCGTTTCTGCCCGTTTGCTTTTTTCCTTCAAAATAAGATATGGTGGCTCACGCCTGCAATCCCAGCACTCTGGGAGGCCGAGGTGGGTGGATTGCTCAAGGTCAGGAGTTCGAAAGCAGCCTGAGCAAGAGCGAGACCCCGTCTCTACTATAAATAGAAAGAAATTAATTGGCCAACTAATATATATATAGAAAAAAATGAGCCGGGCATGGTGGCGCATGCCTGTAGTCCCAGCTACTCGGGAGGCTGAGGCAGGAGGATCGCTTGAGCCCAGGAGTTTGAGGTTGCTGTGAGCTAGGCTGACGCCACGGCACTCACTCTAGCCTGGGCAACAGAGCCAGACTCTGTCTCAAAAAAAACAAAAACAAAAGACTATGAACAGATTCCTATGCGCACTGCACATATCTTATTTTGAAGTAAAAAAACACGGGCAGAAACGCCCGCCTGCGGCCCGTAGCGTGGGGACGCCTGGCTAGCTCGCCCAGCGCCACGTGGAGAACTGTTGCTGCTGACAGGCAGCAGGTCCGACCAGGGCGTCACCAGGGCCCTCTGGTCACCAGATGCAGACAGGCTACTGCCTCCGGGGCGCTCCCGGTTTGTGTCAGGGGCGGAGGCCCCGAGGCGAGCGAGAGTCCCGCCAGGCTGGGGACACGGGCAGCGGGCACAGCGCCGGGCTCCTTCCCGCTCCCCACGGCCACCCCGGGCTGCCACCCCCGCCCTCCGTGCCCGCCTGCTCCCGCCACCTGGCCGACGGGAGCCATCCCAACGCGGGCAGCGCCCCGTCGGTTTCCGTGTCCGGCCGACACGGTCATAGCAGCCCACGCGGAGCGGATCCCCGGAGCGGCTGCGCTGGAAAGCACGCGGACTCACGGGCCGGGTGAGCGCCCCGTGTCACGGCGGGGCACGCACGCCACGGCCCTGGCCCAGCCCGCGGCGCCACGCCGTACAGGAGCCCGAGACGCCAGGAAGAGGCGGCCGCGCCTGCCGATCACACCGTCCGCCCTCAGTCTCCCCGCGGCCCCCCAGAACGCCCCCGGCCCCCCGCAGAACAACCCCGCTCCACCCAGAACCCCGCCCCCCCAACAACTCCACCCCCCCCAGAACAACTCCACCCCCCCAACAACCCCAGCACCCCCAAGAACGCCCCCGGCCCCCCGCAGAACAACCCCGCCCCCCGCGGCCAAGGCAGTGCCTGGCGAGAAAGCACTGCGGACGCCACGGGGCGGGCACGGTCCCCGTCACAGGCATGGACAGTGCTGGCTTGCACATTGCACCTAAAACGCAGCTGTCTGCGCCCGAGAGGCTGACACCCAAAATCCTGCCCGACGGCACTGCTGAGTCCTCGCTTCACCCCAAGCCCTCGCTTCACCCCGAGCCCTCGCTACACCCCGAGCCCTCGCTTCACCCCGAGCCCTCGCTTCACCCCGAGCCCTCGCTTCACCCCGAGCCCTCGCTACACCCCGAGCCCTCCCTTCACCCCGGAGCCCTCCCTTCACCCCGGAGCCCTCGCTTCACCCCGAGCCCTCGCTACACCCCGAGCCCTCCCTTCACCCCAGAGCCCTCGCTTCACCCCGAAGCCCGGCGTCTTCCCCACGCGCGGCTCTCGGAGGAAACAGGGCAGCGGTGCTCGCTCTGCCGGCTGACGGCCCTGACAGTCGCACGCGCAGCCGCCGGTCTCGGCCCTTTCCCCGCCCGCCGGGAGTTTCTCCCCCGCGGCCACCGTGGCGACAGACGCCACCGCCCGCGGCGGGATGGGCCGCACAGCGCGCGTCTGCAGCCAGGCACGTGTCCACGCGGGCCTGCCCGCTCTCACGCCGGCCCCGGAGGTCCCTGGCGCCGCCTGGTCAGAAGCGCCCTACCAGCCGGGCGCGGCGGCTCACACCTGTCATCCCAGCACTCTGGGAGGCCGGGGCGGGAGGATCGCTCGAGGTCAGGAGTTCGAAACCAGCCTGAGCAAGAGCGAGACCCCGTCTCTACTATAAATTGAAAGAAATTAATTGGCCAAGTAAAAATATATAGAAAAAATCAGCTGGGCGTGGTGGCGCATGTCTGTAGTCCCAGCTACTCGGGAGGCTGAGGCAGGAGGATCGCTTGAGCCCAGGAGTCTGAGGTTGCTGTGAGCGAGGCTGACGCCACGGCACTCACTCTAGCCTGGGCAACAAAGCGAGACTCTGTCTCAAAATAAATAAATAAATAAATAGCAGAAGCGCCCTTACCTCTCGCTCTCGTCCGCAGCCTTTTCCGCCTCCTCCAGCTTCTGCAGGGCCGCGGCCAGCCGCTCCTGAGCCCTGTCCAGCTCCTCCTCCACCAGCTGGATGCGCCGATTGAGCGCCGCCACGTCACCTTCAGCCTGGCGAGGGCAGAGGCGCAGCCGGGTTAAGAGGTGCCAGGCCAGCCGCCCGTGGGGACCTGCCCCTCGCCCCTGATTCCCCGCCGCCGGGGCCCACCCAGGAATCCAGGCCTTCGGCGGGCGGTTCACACCCTCTCGTCTGGAGGGTGTGACATTTGGGTACGGTCTTCCCCTTCCCTGAAAATGCCAGGGACCCTCCGCCACTTGGCGACGACAGCCGAGCGCCCTGGCCACCCCGGCACAGGCGGGAGGCAAGCACACTGCGCGCTCCGCTCTGGCCCCGCGGCTCGCGACAGACCCAGTGCTGGGATAGCACGCGATGTGTGTGGGCTCTTCGGTAAAAAAGACACCCAGTGCCGCCGTGTAGAGGGGTCTGGGGCTCCCTGTGGGATCCCTAAGAGAGTCCCCAGTGGCCCGGCCCGGCCGATCTGCGCCCTCTCATCTGAATGGCAAGGTGAACGCAAGAATACTCGGCCAAACGCTGAGCGTGCAATTAGCAAGGTGCGGGAGGAGGCAGAGCACCGTCCTCAGCCGAGCCTGGCTGAGAGGCGATGGGACAAAAAGGCATGAGAAGGGAGGGGAAACTTGGTTACAGGCACGGAAGAGATATCCGAAGAGCGCTGCCGGCTTTTCTAGGTGTTTCCACCTACAGGGAAGGAAGAACAGAAAAACAGGAACTCCAGGGTCAAAAAGTGCCTGGTCAAAATCCCGGAGCCTGTGATCCTAAGCACTCTGGGAGGCCGAGGCGGGAGGATCGTTTGAGGACAGGAGTTTGAGACCAGCCTGAGCAAGAGCAGCAAGAGCGAGACCCCCGTCTCTACAAGAAATAGAAGAATTAGCCGGGCATGATGGCGCATGCCTGTAGTCCCAGCTACTCGGGAGGCTGAGGCAGGAGGATCGCTTGAGCCCAGGAATTGGAGGCTGCAGTGAGCTGTGAGGAGGCCACGGCACTCCAGCCTAGGCGACAGAGCAAGACTCTGTCTCAAAGAAAAAGGAAAGAAAAAAAAAAGAATCCGGGCTCTGCCAATTTATACCCATGCGGAGCTGGCTGCACTGCCCTGCGCCCCAAGCCTGGTGACTTGCTGCTGTGAGCCGCAACCCGAGGGCGTGGCACTGCCTGACCCTGCAAGAACCGCAGCTCTTCCTGCCCCGGCTTCACCTCACCTAATCTTCACACCTCTCACCCATTTTACAGATGGGGAAACCGAGGGGCCCTGCAAGGTGAAGCAGTTTTGCTCAGGGACTCTGAGTCCCAATCCAGGGCTTGTTTCCTTCTGAACCTGCTCCCCCCAACCCCCGCACCGAGTCCTGGGTGGAGGGGGCTTCAAGGCCAGGCGAGTTATCCAGGACGCCCACCTTTGGGGAGAAACAGTGAGATTTGGCCAAACGGGCTGCACCACAGGTTGGAGGAGCAGGTGAAGCTACACTAGCTGTTTCCTATCAGGACAGATGAGGAATGTCTGAATTGGGAAAGGCTATAAAAATTAATGAGAGGCCGGGCGAGCGCGGTGGCTCACGCCTGCAATCCTAGCACTCTGGGAGGCCGAGGCGGGAGGATCGCTCAAGGTCAGGGGTTCACAACCAGCCTGAGCGAGAGCGAGACCCTGTCTCTACTAAAAATAGAAAGAAATTAACTGGCCAACTAAAAATATATAGAAAAAATTAGCCGGGCGTGGTGGCACATGCCTGCAGTCCCAGCTACTTGGGAGGCTGAGGCAGGAGGATCGCTTGAGCCCAGGAGTCTGAGGTTGCTGTGAGCGAGGCTGACGCCACAGCACTCACTCTAGCCTGGGCGACAACTTGAGACTGTCTCAAAAAAAAAAAAAAAAAAAAGATTGCACCGAGGTGGCTTGATTCACGAGTCTTAGAAAAAAAAAAGAAAAGCGAGCAGCCGTTTATTGTGTAGGAAACCCCGAATCCTGGCAACCACGCTTTTGGCAGATTTTCAGCCGTCTGGAACGGAAAAGACACACGCGCGTAGGTGCACACCTACGAGAGATATATATGTATTTTTGAAAAACTGCTAGTCACTGCTAGTCGTTTGGGGCTCCACCCCTTCCTGCAATCAAAGCCTTCCACACTCTACAAAGCATTTCCCTTATAAGGGAAAAGCGGCTAGCTGGATGCTTGTGGCAGAGGAACAGGAAGATGTCTGCTAATCACACAAAAATCTAAACGAAACCAGCTGTCGGGAGGCAGGCCCAGAAGCCTGCCACACGCCGCCGCGGGCTCTTGGCTCATTCCACAAGAGGCCCAGAGACAGCCTCTTCTTTCTCTTGGTCTCCTGGTTTCAGTCCCGAGGCCCTGGAACCACGCCTGGCTTTCCCTCTGCTGCCCGGGAGAGCAGCATGCTTTTTGTAAAGTGAACTTTTCAAGAAGTCTTAAACTTTCCAAAAAAAAAAAAAAAAACGGCTTCCCTCCCCGCTGGAGGGTCCCGGGGCCTCCCCATGGCTGGGGGGGCGGAGGGCCATTCTGAAGCAGAGGTAATCAGCCTCCAGCGAGGTGGCCTGGGACCAGATCAGAGGAGGAGGTAGAGTTCCCCTGGCGCCAGTGAGAAAGAGGCCAGGCCCGCTACTGTGCGAGCCTCCCCCCTGGGCCTCCTATGCCTCTTAACTGCAGGATCGAACCCTCCACCCAGGCCAGGGCTGAGGCTGCCTCTCAGCCTCGGGGGACAGGGGGCAGTGGCAGTCTGGCCTCCTCCCAGCCTCACGTGTGGGCACCCCGCATAACTCCATCTGACCCCCGCACCTTCCACACTTCTGGGGGCCCCCCACCGCGCCCCAAGCTTCAACCCCACCTCCCCCCGCAAACCCAACTTTCCTGCTCCTGACTCTGCTGGCCCAGCGGAACTTACTTATTCCCCAAGACCCTGCCACAGCCTCCATTTTAAAGCCTCCCCTGTCCCCAGCTGCTTGGTGGCCCCCCTCTGTCACCTAACAAGAGCACAAAAGACTCCTGGACCGCGAACCAGCAAACCACACTCGGTCAGCCTCCTGCGTCTGCCTGCCTCCCCCCACCCCCACCCTTCCCAGGACAGGGGGGAGGGGAGAAACACCACGAACTGAGCACCTACTATGTGCCAGACTCCTGGGACCCTCCCAGCTACTCCAGGGGCGAGCACGACTGTCGCCTTCCTTACGGATGGGGAAACACCCCCTCCCCCCAAGATGAAGTGCACGGCCATACAGATGGTAAGTGGCGAGAGACCGGATTAGAATCCAGATCTGCCCCCGGCCCCAGGCGCCGCCGCCATCTGTCCCCGGACACAGTCCGGGGACGGCAATGGGGTGGCCTGAGTCTATCTCAGGCGCACAGTAGGCGCTCAAATGATCGCGGGTCTAGGGCCCCGTGCTAAGGCCCCAGGGGCGTCTGGACGCAGACGGGGGTCCCCCCCGCCCGGCTGGGGAGGGAAAGGCGGGCGGCTGGGGCTGGACTTCCGCCGCCCCCCCTGCCTGGAGCAGACACGTCGCCGCCGCGCCCTTGGCCCCTGGGAACGGCTGGGAAAGTTCGGCGGAGCCCGGACGCGAGAAAGCGCGACGCCCCCGCCTGCCCCCCAACCGCACCGCCGACTCCGCGCGGGCCGGCCAGCCCAGACAATGGGGCTCCACGTCCCCGTCCCCTCTCCAGGCCCGGTGGCGGGCGGGTCCCCCCAGCCCCGGACCCCGGCGCCAGTCCGCAGTCGGTGCACCCCCGCCCGCCTCCGCGCCCGGGAGCGCGCCCCCCCCTCCGGGCCCCATCCTCCCCGTTTCCCGCCCGGCCGGCCCCGCCCGCGTGCCAGGCCCCGGAGGGAGGACGGGGTGCGGGGTGCGGGTCCGCGATTCGGGCGACGGCGGCGCGACTGGCGGGGCGGCTGGCGGAGGAGCGCGGGACCGGCGGCGCCGGGAGGAGGGAGGAGGGGGCGCGCTGCGGGGCCGGGGGCGGGCGCGGACCGGGGTGCGGGCCGCCGCGGGGCGGTGCCGGGCGCCGGCCGGGGTGCGGGGCCGCGCGACCGGGCGGTCGGGCGCGGCCGGGGTCGGCCGGCCGCGCGGGGCCCGGCGGCGGGCTGCGGGGCGGCCGGCTCGGCGCCGGGGTGGCCGGGGCCGGGCCGGGCGCTCACTTTCTCGCGCCGCTCGCGCTCGCCGTCCAGCTCGCGCTGCAGGCCCTGCGCGCGGTCCTCCGCCTCGTCCGCCTGCTGCTGCAGGGCCTGGATCTTGCGCTTCACGGCCTCCAGCGAGTTGAGGCCGGCCATGGCGCGGGGGCGCACGCAGCGGGCGCTCGGCTCGGCTCGGCTCCGGCGAGAGCTGCGGCGGCCGCGCCCGGGCCCGACCTTTCCTGCCCGGGGCCGCCCCGCCCTCCCCCCCGCGCCCGCCGCCGTGGGGCGGTGAGGTCACCGGCCGGGCCGCCGACGTCAGCGCCGGGGGAGCTGAGTCGCACCGCTTGGCCGGGCCGCCTGGAAGAGCCCCCTTCGGACTTTTTGAGAAAAGCGCGGGAGGCACGCCTTCGCCGCGCGCCGCTCCCCTCCCCTCTCCCTCCTCCTCTTCCTCCTTTCTCCTCCTCCTCCGGCGCTGCCCGCCCGCCAGAGCCCGGGGTCCCGCCCGGCCCTGCCGCGGGCGCCCGGCGCTGCGCACGTACGTCGGACGCCTTCTTCTCCGTCAGCTCCAGCTTCTCCCGCGCGTCCTTCAGGTCCTCGGAGTATTTCTCCAGCTCGTCCTCCGTCCCCGTCAGCTTCTTCTGGAGGTGCGTCAGCTCCTCCTCCACCTGGGGGCACACGAGGGGCGCATCAGCCCGGGGCTGCGGCCCCGAGGTGCGGGGGTGCCCCCCAGAGTCTCAAGAGTCCTCTGTGTGTGTGTGTGTGTGTGTGTCTCTCTCTGGACTCAGTTTCCCCATCTGTAAAATAGGTCGACAATAATAATAGGCACCATTCAATCAATGCCACAGGCCAGCACGGCTCTCCCATCTTCCTCCCGTGGCCTGGGGACCCGCTGTTCTTATCCCTTGTTGGAGTCCCCAGTGCGCTTGGGGACTCGCTTGCAGTTTTGGGAGACTGGAAGTGCCTACACGTCTGCCCCAAACGCGTTCCACTTTGCACTCCAGTTCCGGGGCTGCAGGCTCCCCGCCATCCTGGGTTAAGCCGAAGGAAGGGAGTCTCATTCTCTGGGCGGGGATCCCCACCTCCCATCCTCAGCCCGTCTCCCTCTAGTTCTGCCCACCTCCCAGCAAGCAGAGAAACTTTCTAAGGAGAATGTCTGCCCTTTCCCCCACCTGCCTAGAACCTGCTATGGCTCCCCGTTGCCCAGGGCAGTGGTGCTCAGACTGTCTCACCAAAATACCCTGGAGCATTGAAGGGCTCGGACCTAGCTCCTAGCTTCTGGGTTTTGGGGGGGCTTGGCTAGAAGAGACCCATCCCTCAAGGATCGCTTTGCTTTGGAGGCTCAGGTCAAATCTTTTCAACGCTTGCCTGTTGGGTGTGTCCATCTCAATAAAAATGTCCCCTGCCTTCCCCCAATTTTCAGTCCTGTCTGTTTCTCCTTCAGGTCTGCCCCCACCCTCCTGCCACCCGCCCGTCTGAGAAGCTCAGGTCTGTGGGATCGATACAAACCACAGCCCCCCTCTCTGGGCTGGGGCGGTGTCATCCAGCCCGTGCCTTGCTCTGACTCCTGTCTCAGCCTGTCGACCCCGGCTCCTGTCCCTCATCCCGGGCGGCGGCCAGGCGACCCCACTGGGCCCACCTTCGTTCTCCCGCCTCCCCACAGCAGGAGGCCCAGAGAGGTGGAGTGACCTTCTCCAGGCCACACGCAGCGCAGGACTCGAACCCGCCTCTCCTGAGCACGGGCCTGTCAAGGCCTGAACCCTCGTGTCCCCACCCCCAGATTCCTATCCCGGAGCCCTTGTCCCCCCGAGTGACGGGGACTGGAGGTGGTTGGGTTTAGGTGAGGTCGCGAGGGTGGCCCTCCACGGTGGGGTTGGCGCCCTGGCGAGAGGAGGAAGGGACCAGAGCCTGTTCCTCCCGCTGCAGGTTAGGGTGCGGCAAGGTGGCGGCCGGCCACAAGCCACCCAGAGAGCCTTTGGTGCCAGGCACCGGCTGTGCCCGCACCTCGATGTGGGACGTGCGGTCTGCAGGACCGGGAGGGACAAATGCGTGAGGCCCGCCGCCGCCACCGGCGCTCCGTGTTCTGTTACAAATGCCCGAGCTGGCCGGGACCACGGTGCCCTTGGCCCTGCCCCTCACGGCGGCCGGCTCTCCTTCCTCTGTGACTGGCTTCTCTCCTCTTCCTCCCGGAAGGAGGGGGTATACCATAAAAGCTGCGCCCCGAGGCTTCTAGACCGAGCTCTGGATCCGCCCTGGGTCGGGGCTCACCCCTGGACGGACGCTGTGCAGAACGCGCCCCCCCCAGTGCAAACTCCTAATAGGGCCCCGGCCAGGCCAGCATCCCCCACCCACGGTGAGCGCCCACCGCTGGGCAGGGCTGGGGGAGCAGTTGGGGGAGGCCGCCTGCCGGCAGAGGCTGGGGTTCCAGCCGGCCGAAGTCACTGAGGTGCCTGCGGGGGTCTCTAGCTGAGGGGCTGCAGACAGCAGCGGGGGCGGCTCTGTCTGAAGTTTCCCGGGACACCCCAACGCTGCCCATGAACCGCGGGGGGAAGGTGAATTGGCCCAGCCCAGGGCTGGTGGCGGCTCCAGCCGAAGCCACGGTCCAACAGGGCCTGAACTTGACCTCCGGGAGGTTTAGGGTGGCAGGAGGGGGAGCCTGGAAGCCCGGCTCCAAATCCCAGCCGCGTGACCCCTGTTTCCTACGCTGGCCTCGGTTTACCCATCTGCGGGATGGAAGCCCTGAGGCGGTGGTCTCTGAGCACACGGGCAGCTGCTTCCGAGCTTCTGCCTGGACCGAGAAAAACGAGCCAGTTTCCTTACAGACGTTTCCCAGGTCAGCCCTGACCCGGCGTGCACCTGCCTTCCTTCCTGGTCCGTGGGCCACGGCACTCGCTGGGCGCCGGCTGCGTGCCCGGCCAGGCCTCTCCTCACACGCAAGAAGGCCCAGCGCGAATCCGACAGCTCTGCCCTCAGCAGGGTTTAGAGGTAGTTTGGAGGCCGGGCGTGGAGGCTCTCGCCTGTAATCCTAGCAGTCTGGGAGGCCGAGGCGGGTGGATTGCTCCAGGTCAGGAGTTCGAAACCAGCCTGAGCAAGAGCGAGACCCCGTCTCTACTATAAATAGAAAGAAATTAATTGACCAACTAATATATATATAGGAAAAATTAGCCGGGCGTGGTGGTGCATGCCTGTAGTCCCAGCTACTCGGGAGGCTGAGGCAGGAGGATCGCTTGAGCCCAGGAGTCTGAGGTTGCTGTGAGCTAGGCTGACGCCACGGCACTCACTGTAGCCTGGCCAACAAAGGGAGACTCTGTCTCAAAAAAAAAAAAGGTAGTTTGGGGTCTGGACGACTTTTCTGGCCACGTTTGGACAGGCGAGAGGGCTGCCGGCATTTAGAGTGGGCCGGGCGTGTCGCGAGTCTCACCTCACGGGAACCCCGCGCTGCGGAAGGGCGAACCGAGGCCCGGGTTAAGGGGCAGGGACTGGCCCAGGGCCACGCAGGTTGGGGCTTGGATCCAAGCTGGCTTGCTCGGCCAGTGGGCCGCGCCGTGCCCACCCCCAACCGCCCTGCTCCCCACCTTCCGCTGGGAGGACTCCGGTCCTCCACCCCCTCGGTGGCCGGCCCTGCCTCCCTGGGGGGAGTGCTCCCCACCCCTCGGGCTCCCCCGGCCTCTGTCCCAGCCCTGCCCCCTGAGCTGGGGACTTCCACACCTCACTCTGCCCCCCCAGCCTGGGGGTCGTGGGGGTCAGGCCCCCGCGTGGGAGCCCTGTGGGCGGGGTAGTGACACAGTTCCATGTGGGCTCAAGGCAGGTGCGGGCGTGTGCAGCCTTGCCCTCCTGTGGGCCTCAGTTTCCCCGCCGGTGAGATGGCTAGGAGGATCATGGGCTGCACACATCTTCGTCCCCACGTGAGGGTGGGGTGGGGTGGGGGTGGAGCCCAGGGCAGGGCCACAGCGGCGGGATGTTGGGTCAAAGGCCAGGCGAGGAGGATGTCGCTGCCCTGGGAGGGGAGCGGGCAGGAAGCGGCGGGGCTGGCCCGGCGTTGCCCTCTTCCCACCCTGGAAGGGCAGAGCCGGGAACTGGGGCCGTTTCCCGAGCGTCCCCAAGGCTCAGGCTGGACCCGAGACTTGCTGTCTCTGGTCTCCTGCAGCTAACGGCACTCTGGGTAAGTTGAGTCCCTCGCCACCTCCCGCCCCTGTTGCCAGGCAGGGCTGGGCCTCCACCCGGTGCGGCTCTGGGATTTTGGGTTCCACGCTTGGCCATCGGAAGGCACCGTTCGCCCCCATTTCACAGACGAGAACACTGAGGGCTCAGAGAAGCGCAGGAAGGTGCCCTTTTCTGAGTCACAAAGCTAGAGGAAGCCCCAGCCCTGATTTGAACCTGAGTCCACCGAAGTGGGTGGCTTTGTGGGGAAAAAAAAAATTGTAGGCCGGGCGCGGTGGCTCACGCCTGTCATCCCAGCACTCTGGGAGGCCGAGGAGGGCGGATCGCTCGAGGTCAGGAGTTCGAAACCAGCCTGAGCAAGAGCAAGACCCCGTCTCTACTATAAATAGGAAGAAATTAATTGGGCAACTAAAAATATATATAGAAAAAATGAGCCGGGCATGGTGGCGCATGCCTGTAGTCCCAGCTACTCCGGAGGCTGAGGCAGGAGGATCACTTGAGCCCAGGAGTTGGAGGTTGCTGTGAGCCAGGCTGACGCCACGGCACTCACTCTAGCCTGAGTAACAAAGTGAGACTCTATCTAAAAAAAAAAAAAAAAAAAAATTGTAAAAAGCGCAATGAAAAGCCAGCTGGAGGCTGGACGATCTGTCCCCACCTCTTTGGCCATAGGGCTGGCTGAAGGCTTTGAGGATCCTTCCCTTTTGAACTTGTGGCTGCCTTTGGGGGATTAAGCTGTATCAGTCACTCACATCTTAGTGAGAATTAGAGACTTTAACTTCTCCCTGAATCTCTGGCTAAGCCCCTCCAGTGACCGAGGGGAGCGAGGGCTGAGCGAGGGCCGGAAGCCAACAGTCCAGGGGCCAGCACAGGACGGGACTTCTGTGTGTGCCAGGGAGGGGCACAGGGAAGGGGGAGGGAGTATGTGGCAGGGGTGGGGCTTGGCCGGTGCAGATGTGTCACTGACTCAGGGCAGTCCCAGGACACTGGGGGATGGGGCGGCCCAGAGGGGAAGCCGGGCGGGGCAGGAAGCGCCCCCGCGCTGGCTTGCCGAGTGCTTGCTCTGGGCCGGGCGCCCTGCCAAGGGCTCCACCTGCACAGTCACTCTGAGGTGCCACCAGGACTTCCCTGTCTCGCACCTGTGGCCGCCGAGGCCCAGAGAGGGGAGGGCGCTTGCCCCGGCGCACCCAGAGACAAGCGGCGGCGACTCGGTCCTGGCCGGTCTGAGCCCAGAGCCGCCGCCTTGACCTGCCGGCCGTCCTGGCGCCGGGGCCGGGCAGGGCCGGGCGCCCGGTGTCACCCGGCCTGGGTGTCTCCCTGGGCTTATCTGGGACCCGGGCGCCCCCGAGGGCTTGGCGGTGGACCCTGGGCTGTGGCGGGCCTCGTGGGGACTCCCTTACTTGCTGCCGCCCGCCGCCCCGGCCACCAGACCTGGTGTCTGCTCCGGCCCCTCGGAGACCCCCGGCTCCCCGCTTGGCGGGGCCTCCTGGGACTCTGGTCCCCAAAGCCCTGGCTCTGTGTGGGCTCCCGGGCTGCGGGGGTGGGGGGGTGGGAACTGGCCTCCCTGCCCCCAGGCGTGCAGCAGGGGCGGCAGGGGCACCCCCAGACTCACGGGGACACCCTGCGCTTCTCAGCCTCACTGCCCACTCGCCTTCCAGCCCGGCCCCCGGGCCCGGCTCGGTCAACCCTCAGCGGGTCGCAGCCCCGGTCCCCACCACCCACCCGGGCACGGGGCCACCCTGCTTGGGCAGCCGCCGAGTGGACCCCCAGCCCCCTGTCACAGCTGCGTGCTGCTGGGTACACGGGCACGGGTCACCCACACTCACGCACGGCTCTGCACCGCGGCTCGCTGCCCGGAGTGCACGCGAGCACACACGCCAGCGGACACGCACACCTCCCAGCAGAAACACAGTCACTGGCGGGGCGCGGCGGCCCACGCCTGTCATCCTAGCACTCTGGGAGGCCGAGGCGGGAGGATCGCTCGAGGTCAGGAGTTCGAGACCAGCCTGAGCAAGAGCGAGACCCCCGTCTCTACTAAAAATAGAAAGAAATTAATTGGCCAACTAATATATATAGAAAAAGTTAGCCGGGCATGGTGGCTCATGCCTGTAGTCCCAGCTACTTGGGAGGCTGAGGCAGGAGGATCGCCTGAGCTCAGGAGTTTGAGGTTGCTGTGAGCTAGGCTGACGCCACAGCACTCCAGCCCAGGTGACAGAGTGAGACTCTGTCTCAAAAGAAAAGAAATAAAGAAATACAGTCCTGAACACAGTCCCCAACCTCCCCCCAACAAAAACACACATGTCCAAACACGCGTGACTTACATGCCAACAAAACCCCCCAGCCCCCAACACACACGCGTGTGCTGCCGCAAACGCACAGCCACCTGGACACGTGCACTCGGTCACCGTCAGGCCACCTCTGCATAAGCGCGCACGGCCACTCTACCCTCCACGGACTCTCGCTGACACACCGTCTACACCAGCAGAGTCCGGGACACGCTGACACACCGTCTACACCAGCAGAGTCCGGGACACGCTGACACACCCTGTCTACACCAGCAGAGTCCAGGACACGCTGACACACCGTCTACACCAGCAGAGTCCGGGACAGGCTGACACACCCTGTCTACACCCGCAGAGTCCGGGACACGCTGACACACCGTCTACACCTGCAGAGTCGCGGACAGGCTGACACACCGTCTACACCTACAGAGTCCCGGACACACCCACGCTCCGTCACAGCCCCTTCCTGGCACCCAGGGCGGCAGCCCCAGGCTCACGCGTCCCCTCGCACACGCCCGTCCTCACGGCGACCCCAGCCCCCCGCCGGGACACTCGCACGCACAACCCGGACAGACGCGCGCCACACGGGAGCGCACGCAGACACGCTCGCACACGCAGACACGCCTACGTTCCCGGGTTCCCGGGAGGGAGGACGGCCTCGCTCGCTCTCCCCCCGTCCCTCCCTGGCAGGCTTCCCGGGCAGGGGACAGGCACAGAGAGGGCGCGGGCGGCGGGGGCGGCCCAGCGCGGGGGGCGCACCTGCTTGCATCTGTCCTCGGCGGCCTTCTTGTCGGCCTCGGCCTGCTCGGCGCGGTCGATGGCATTCTCCTTGTCCAGCTTCAGCATCTGCATCTTCTTCTTGATGGCCTCCATGGCGGGGCGGCGGGGCGGCCGTGTCCGGGCTGTGGCGGCGGCGGCCTCCGGAGTGAGCCTCCCGGGCGGGGCAGGCCCTTATAGCTGCCGGTGCGCCCAGCCCGGCGGGCGCGACTTGGAGGAGGCCCAAGCCTGGAGGAGGCCCAAGCCTGGAGGCCGGGCCAGCCGCCACTCGCCCCCAGCACCGGGCCGGCTCGCGGCGTGCGGGCGGCCGCGCCTTATTTGGGCCTCGGGTTGCCTTCCAGGGAGGAGGGAAGCAAGAGGGCCGGGGCCGTTTCCATTTTTAACCTGGTGACACGGGTCCCGCGTGGGCGTGCGGGCACGGCGGGCACGGAGGGACCCCTGGCGGCAGGGCCCCGGGGGCGGGGCGCTCCGGGTGGCCTCGGTTTCCCCACCTGTCGCTGGGAGGGGTGAAGGGCGCACGTGAGGGTGGGCGCGGAGCACTGGGGAGGCTCCTGTGCTCCTTCCCCCTCGCCCCTGGGGGTCAGGCCTCTCTCTGCCCCACCTCCTGCCACCGCTCCAGGAAGCCTTCCTGGATTACCACCGCCTCTCCCTGGGGTCTCGTCCTCTTCGTCCTCTGCCTCTGCCTCTCTCTTTCGGTGACCGTCTCCGTGTGCCTCTGTCTCCATGTCCTTTTCTGTCTCTGTCTCTGTCTCTCTGTCTCTGTCTCTCCTGCCCCTGCCGCCCTCCTTAGCTCCCACGCCCTCCCTCCCTCCTCCGCCCGGACCTGGCTGTGGCTCCCCAGTACCCACAGGAACGGCGGGGGACCTGGGCTCCCCGGCTCTCCGCATGGACCCCTCCCTCCACTCGGGACCCCGATCCCCCCCACTAGGCCTCTGCCCGTGCAGACGCCCGGCCCACAGCGGGGGGCCCCTGTCCCTCCCGCCACCTGGGGCAGGATTTGCTGACTTCAGAGAGTTATTCATTCATTCATTCATTCATTCATTCATTCATTCACTCCGCTGAGTCTGGGCGCCCCTCACGCGCCGTGTCTTGGGCAGTGCGTGCTCGGGATGCTCTCGTTATTGCTCCAGCGTCCGGTTGGGGCTGCGAGCTGCTCTGGGGCCAGGCCTGCGCCTCCGTCCTGTTCTGTGGCTCCCCCCGCCTCCCCCAGAAAACGAGAAAATGCTTGTTAAATAAAACACGCGATTCCCCCCTGCGTATGCACGCAAACACACGCTCACACACACACACACACACGCCTCCCTGCCTATGAAACTTCTGTCCGTGCTTCAAGGCCCAGACCGGATGGCGCCTCCTCCAGGAAGTCTTCCCAGATTCCCAGACACACTCCTGGGTGGAGCACTGAGACTCCCAGGTGGGACGGGGTAGGGAGGGAGGCAGGGAGGGAGGCCTCACCGTTTTCTGCCCAAGGCCCCAGAGGGGGCGGGAAGAAGGCAGAGACTGGGCGGTGTGCAGGGAGTGCCTCTGGGGAGTGCGGGGGGGGGTCACCCCAAGATTTTGGGGTCCCAGCCCCCTGCTCAGCTGCTTCACCGTCCCTTCGGCTGGCCTCCCTGTCTTTGTCACGGTGAGAACGTCACTCCTGTTGGCTTGGGGGATGGGCAACAAGGTAGCCACGGAACATTCTAGAGCCTCTTCCGAGCACTAGGGATGTGGGCTTCTCCCCCAAGTTCGGGAGCTGAGGGGGCCCAGCCGGGACTCCCGCCCAGCTCTGTCCTCCTTATCTCCCCCTGCCCCACGTCCTGGCCGTGCGACTCTGTTTCCTCCTGCGGCAGGAGCAGACCGCAGTAGCTGCATCTCCGCGGGTGTCAGCGCCTAGATAGCGGCCCTCCCGCCCGCGCCCCGGCGCCCCACTCGCCGTCTCACTCGGTCTCCCCGCGCCCTAAGGGGTCGGGGACTGTGTTTTTTTTTTTTTTTTTTTTTTGAGACAGAGTCTCGCTCTGTCGCCCGGGCTAGAGTGAGTGCTGTGGCGTCAGCCTCACTCACAGCAACCTCAGACTCCTGGGCTCAAGCCATCCTCCTGCCTCAGCCTCCCGAGTAGCTGGGACTACAGGCGTGCGCCACCATGCCCGGCTCGTTTTTGCTATATATATTAGTTGGCCAATTAATTTCTTTCTATTTATAGTAGAGACGGGGTCTCGCTCTTGCTCAGGCTGGTTTCGAACTCCTGGCCTCGAGCAATCCGCCCGCCTCGGCCTCCCAGAGTGCTGGGATGATGACAGGCATGAGCCACCGCGCCCGGCCAAGGACTGTTTTCATTCTCCCTTCACAGAGGAGGAAACCGAGGCTGGCCCTCGAGGTCACACGGCTCGCCCAAGGCCGTCCGGCCGGGGAGGGGCCCGCACCGGGTCTCCCTGGTCCTTGCACCAAACCCCAGAAGCGAGCTACGGTTCTCAGCCCCGGGCTTGTTACAGATAGGGAAACTGAGGCCCGGGGGTGGGCTCGCCAGCTTGCGAGTGACCCGGCCGCCCCTAAGAGCAGAGCTGGGGGGGGGCCCGAGACACCTTCAGCAGCCTCGCCGCCTCGGGCTGACGTCCCCGGAGGCCGGCCGGTCCACCCCCGCCGTCCCCGGGGTCTCTGGGACCGGCCTCGCCGCAGGTGCAGTGGCTAATTCCGGGCCTGACTCCACCGGGCCTGGCAGGGGATCCCTCCCACAGGAGACGCCCGCTCGCTCCGCGGCCTCGTAAGGCAGAGCCTGGTCCCTGGCGCCGGCCCTGGCACAGCCCCTTGCTCAGGGACCTCCCGGAGCTGGAATCTTATGCCTCGCGGGGCGGTGGGGTGGGGAAGAGAAGAGGGCTAGAGCCGGCGCCACCCCACTGGGGACTCTGTGGCCCCTGTGCTATGACCTTAAGAATGCACTCAATGCCCTCCTCGAGTGTGTGTGCCCCAGGGACACCCCAGGAGTCCTGGCCGGCCGAGAGGGTCATTTGGGGTTCTTGGTCCCCTGGGGGCGCTGGCCCAGCTGTCCAGGCCGTGCGGCCTGGGGCACGAGCGTTAGCAGCTCGGAAGGAGCCAGCTTCCTTCCTGCACCGCCGCTCTCTAGCTTGGGGGGTCCCGGGGCCGGTCTGGGGGAGACACAAGTCCCCAGTGCCATCCCAGCCCCCTCGGTCCTGAGGCCCGGGGTCCCTTATCGAGCATCTGCTCTATGCCAGGCGCTGTGGGTTGTAGGGGCGCTGTGGGTTTTAGGGGCGCTGTGGGTTTTAGGGGCGCTGTGGGTAGTAGGGGCGCTGTGGGTTGTAGGGGCGCTGTGGGTTTTAGGGGCGCTGTGGGTTTTAGGGGTGCTGTGGGTAGTAGGGGCGCTGTGGGTTTTAGGGGCGCTGTGGGTTTTAGGGGCGCTGTGGGTTGTAGGGGTGCTGTGGGTTGTAGGGGCGCTGCCTTGGGCATGACTCAGCCCAGCGGGGCAAGCCAGCCCGAGCGCTGTACGGCGTGCGTGTGCACGGGGTGCTGAGCGCGTGGTCTGTATGCGTCTCTCTGCGTGTGCACCCTTCCATCCGCAGTCCTTGGGCGTAACTCCCGCAGCCCCCGTCCCAGCCTCTTGCCAGGCTCTTGGGGCGCTTTCAGCCCCAGAAGCAGCCTGGGGAAACAGAATCTCTCTCTCTCTGCCCTTCTCCCGCCCTCCTTCCGCTCGTCCACGGCTGCGGGCTCTGCGCCCCTCAATCCCGAGAGAGCCCCGCGCCGTACCTGGAGGAAGGAATGCTGCCCAGAGACGCCAAGAGGAATCTGAACGGACAGGCCTTGCTGGGCTTAGGTCATGCCTTTTTTTTTTTTTTTTTGGTCCAGTCACAATTCTACGCTGTTGTGAGCCGTGCGTGTGTGATGGATCGGCCACAGGGACCCAAGAGGACAGGGTTCCGGAAGCTTCCGGAGAGCCTAGCACATGGAGGCCGACACAGGAAGGTGACCGGGAACTTACGCACCTGCTGTCCCCAACTCCACGGGGACAGACGATCTTGCTCTGTGTACCTCCTCATCTGGCTGGGCATTTATGTCCTTTAAAATGTCCTTTATAGGACCAGGGGCGGTGGCTCACACCTGTCATCCCAGCACTCTGGGAGGCCGAGGCGGGAGGATCCTTTGAGCTCAGGAGTTCGAGACCAGCCTGAGCAAGAGCGAGACCCCGTCTCTACTTAAAAAAAAAAAGAAAGAAATTACTTGGACAGCTAAGAATATATAGAAAAAATATTATCGCGGGCTTGGTGGCACTTGCCTGTAGTCCCAGCTACTCGGGAGGCTGAGGCAGGAGGATCGCTTGAGCCCAGAAGTCGGAGGTTGCTGTGAGCGAGGCTGACACCATGGCACTCTAGCCACGGCAGCAGAGTGAGACTATATCAAAAGAAAAGAAAAGAAAAGAAGAGAGAAAAGAAGGAAGGAAAGAAAGAGGAAGGAAGGAAGGAAGGAAGGAAGGAAGGAAGGAAGGAAGGAAGGAAGGAAGGAAGGAAAGAAATCCTGACATATGTGACAACATGGGTGAACCTGGGGGACATTATGTTAAGTGGAATAAGCTAGAAACAGAAAGGCAACTACTATGTGATATCACTTCCATGTGGAATCTATAAAAGTCAAACTCTTAAAAACAGAGTGAAATGGTGTTTACCAAGAGGGCTGGGGTGCTGGGAAGGAGGAGATGTTGGTCAAAGGATACAAAGTTTCAGTGATAAGAGTAAGTTCTGGGCGGGGTGGCTCACACCTGTAATCCTAGCACTCTGGGAGGCCAAGGCGGGAGGATCACTCGAGGTCAGGAGATCTAAATCAGCCTGAGCAAGAGCGAGACCCCGTCTCTACTAAAAATAGAAAGAAGCTAATCTGCAAACTAAAAATATACAGAAAAAAAAAAATGGCCGGGCATGGTGGCGCATGCCTGTAGTCCCAGCTACTCGGGAGGAGGCTGAGGCAGGAGGTTCGCTTGAGGCCAGGAGATTGAGGTTGCTGTGAGTGAGGCTGATGCCATGGCACTCACTCTAGCCTGGGCAACAGAGCGAGACTCTCAAAAAAAAAAAAGAGTAAGTTCTGGCTCTGCAGAGTGGTGACTGTAGTTAGTAATAATGCATTGCATACTTGAAGTTTGCTTAAAGCTAGATCTTAAATATTCTTAGACCACAAAAGACAAAAGGAAGGTAATTATGTGAGGATGGATGTACTAATTAGCTCCACCGTGGCAATCATTTCCCAATGTATATCAAATCGTCACGGTGCACGCCCGAAGATACATGCAACTTTTATTTGTCAACCACCCTTCAATAAAGCTGGGGAAAAGAAGGTGAAAATGTGAATACATAAATATTTAGTCCGAATGGCAATCATTTTTTGTTAGTTTTTGGCTCAAGTAAAGAAAATTTGCACCCGGGCGCGGTGGCTCACGCCTGTCATCCCAGCACTCTGGGAGGCCCAGGCGGGAGGATCATTCTAGGTCAGGAGTTCGAGACCAGCCTGAGCAAGAGCGAGACCCCGTCTCTACTATAAATAGAAAGAAATTAATTGGCCAACTAATATATATAGAAAAAATGAGCCGGGCGTGGTGCGGCATGCCTGCAGTCCCAGTTACTCGGGAGGCTGAGGCAGGAGGATTGCCTGAGCCAGGATCTGAGGCTGCTGTGAGCGAGGCTGACGCCACGCGGCACTCACTCTAGCCTGGGCAACAGAGCGAGACTCTGTCTCAAAAAAAAAAAAAAAAAAATCGGGAATTGGAGGGGTGCTTGGACCCGGCTGGGTTGGAGTTATGAAAGAAGCAGCTTGGAAGTGACATTGTCTTATAAATTCTTCTCAACAAAAATTATGAGGAAAGGAGAAAGTAAGTGCTTAGAAAATAAAGATTTTTTTTTTTTTTTTGCTTTTTAAAATTTGGCTTCAGTAAATGCAGTTGTCACAGGGAGGTTATAATACTTCATTTGGCTTTACAAGAAAGAAATATCTCAGTCATTAAGGCTAATAACAATGTATCCAATGGTGCATAACAACGGGCACCAAATGATACATAAAAAGTGATGGAACTCATAAAAGCCAGTTGAGAGAGGCTGAAGCAGGAGCAGAACTGGAAGCGAGAATGTGGGGGACACCGTTTGACAACTCAGAGGCTGGGTGTCAGGCTGGCGGGCGGGGCGGTGCTGTGCAGAATGTACTGGGGGCGTCCCAAAGTTTATAAGAACAGAGTTGTTGTTTGATGGCAAAAGTGGAAAAGTGAATGCGTTTATCGAATCCTAGACGTTGCCCACAGCTATGTGGGACAGATATTAATAAACTCTAAGGCGGCCGAAGAAACGCGATAATTAAGCGATTTCTGGGCCTTAATCAAGGGGTGAGGGGTCCAATACATAAACATCTCAGGCAGTGTTGGGAGAACTAGGACTTCGCTTTTTTATTTTTATTTTTTTTTGAGTCAGAGTCTCACTGTGTTGCCCAGGCTAGAGTGAGCGCCGTGGCGTCAGCCTCGCTCACGGCAACCTCCAACTCCTGGGCTCAAGCAATCCTCCTGCCTCAGCCTCCCAGGTAGCTGGGACTACAGGCATGCACCACCATGCCCGGCTGATTTTTTCTATATGTTTTTAGTTGGCCAATTGATTTCTTTCTATTTTTAGTAGAGACGGGGTCTCGCTCTTGCTCAGGCTGGTCTCGAACTCCTGACCTCGAGCGATCCTCCCACCTCGGCCTCCCAGAGTGCTAGGGTGACAGGCGTGAGCCACCGCGCCCGGCCAGGACTTTGTTTTTAATGATAATTCTGTTAAGTTGGTAGAAGCTGAGAGAAGACTCAACACTTTGAACAATATTATTGATGTTGGAAGAAAAATCTTGATTTTTTTTTTTTTTTTTTTTTTTGAGGATGAAGACCTGGCGGCTGCCACTTTGAACCCATCTCAGCAAATGGCGTCTCCATCATCCTGGTCATTTGCACCTAAAACCTTGGCGTCCTCCTCGTCTCTCACACCCACATCGGAGCCTTCAGCAGATCCAGTGAACTCCACCCTCAAAATACACCCAAGCATGCAAACAGGTCTCTCTGCCTTTCCCGCCCCCATTTCTCTCCAAGCCATTGTCTTGGGCACCTGGGTCTTGCAGTTTTTCGCCTGACTGGTTTTTCTACTTCTGCACTTGGCCTCTGATGGCCTCATCCGTGTGACAGCTGGGGAAGTCCTTTGAACACATAGATCTGTCTTCCTCGGCCCTTTGCTCAAAGCCTGTCATTGGAGAGAAATCCAAAGCCCTTCCCTTTGCCTGCAATACCCTCTCGGAAACCCCACCCATCGTCTCCGGTCTGTTTCTTTTCTTTTCTTTCTTTCTTTCTTTTTTTTTGTTTGAGACAGAGTCTCGCTATGTCATCCTGATAGAGGGCAGTAGTGTCATCATAGCGCACTGCAGCCTCAAACTCCTGGGCTCAAGCGATCCTCCTGCCTCAGCCTCCCGAGTAGCTGGGACTACAGGCATGTGCCACCACGCCCGGCTCATTTTTTCTACATATATTTGTTGGCCAATTAATTTCCTTCTATTTATAGTAGAGACGGGGTGTCGCTCTTGCTCGGTGTTTGAACTTCTGTGCTCAAACGATCCACCCACTTTGGCCTCCCAGAGTGCTGGGATGACAGGCGTGAGCCACCGCGCCCGGCCAGTCCCTCGTGTCTTATTAGGGCACCTGCTACTTGTCCCTCTAAGCTCTGTCCCTACTGTGGCTGCCTCTTTGGGGAGGAGGCGACTGCAGCTCATTTCGGGCTTCTCGCTCCACTCCCGCGGAGCCGGGCTGCTGGGGGCTCTGGGCCTGGCTGGGAATTCTCCCCGTTCTGCCAGCCCTGCCCGACACGTGGGTACCTTCGTGGCTCCCCACTGCTGAGAATAATGACTTTTTTTTTCCTTCGAGATAGAGTCTCACTCTGTTGCCCTGGGCTGGAGTGCCGTGGCGTCAGCCTCACTCACAGCATTTGTTGTTGTGTCTCATGTGTTTTTCTGCCTCAGCCTCCCGAGTAGCTGGGACTACAGGCATGCGCCACCATGCCCGGCTCATTTTTTCTATATATTTTTAGTTGGCCAATTAATTTCTTTCTACATTCAGTAAAGACGGGGTCTCGCTTTTGCTCAGGCTGGTTTCGAACTCATGACGTCGAGCGATCCTCCTGTCTCGGCCTCCCAGGGTGCCGGGATGACAGGAGTGAGCTGCCGTGCCTGGCCAAAATGAACTATTTTGAAGTCAACAATTTAGTGGTATTACTTAGCACATTGGCATTGTTGTGCAACTACCACCTCTATCAAGTTCCAGAACATTCTCGTCATCCCCGAAACAGACCCCGTCCCCATCGGCGGTCACTCCCCATCCCCCTCCCCCATCCCCTGGCAGCCGCCGATCTGCTTCCCGTGTCTGTGGCTTTCCTGTTCTGGACACTTTGTCTCTAGAATTGTACGATATGTGACCTTTTGTGTCTGGCTTCTTTCACTGGATGTATTTTTAAGGTTTTTTCTTTTTTTTGGTAGCATGGAGCACGGATCAGAATTTTATTTCTGCTACATGGCTGAATAATTTTCAGTTGTGTGGATATGCTGCATCTTGTTTATTCGTTCATCTGTGTACAGACGGACATTTGGGTTGTTTCAAGCTTTTTTTTTTTTTTTTTGAGACAGAGTCTCATTTTGTTGCCCAGGCTAGAGTGAGTGCCGTGGCGTCAGCCTCGCTCACAGCAACCTCAAACTCCTGGGCTCAGGCGATCCTCCTGCCTCAGCCTCCCGAGTAGCTGGGACTACAGGCATGCGCCACCATGCCCGGCTAATTTTTTTTTCTATATATATGTTAGTTGGCCAATTAATTTCTTTCTATTTTTAGTAGAGACGGGGGTCTCGCTCTTGCTCAGGCTGGTTTCGAACTCCTGACCTCGAGCAGTCCACCTGCCTCAACCTCCCAGAGCGCTAGGATGACAGGCGTGAGCCACCGCGCCCGGCCACAAGTTCACTTTTGATGATGGGTTGGGATAAAAATGTAGCCGGATGAGGCGGCGCACACCCGCAACCCCAGCCACTCGGGAGGCTGATGCAGGAGGATCGCTTGAGCCCAGGAGGTCGAAACCAGCCTGGGCGACATGATGAGACCACGTCTCAGAAACAAAACAAATGGCTAATGCAACCTGTAAATCTAATCGTCTCGGCGCCTGGAAACTGGGTTTCGCACGCCAGTGGAGGCCGGACGCTGAGTCAGTGCAGTGGAATATATATACTCTTATTAGGGTACATTTTCGTTTCATTTTTAAAAGCCCTTCTATTTTGAAAGAATTTTAGAACCACGTACAGGTTGCAAACATAATACACAGAGACCCTGTGCACCCCTCACCCAATCTCCCCCAATGTTGACATCTTATGTCGCCTCCGGATATTATCAAAAATAGGGTGCTGACGGTGATATTGACTAAAGGCCTTCCGAATGCACCAAGATTTTTCATTGTGGCAAGAGACACAGCACGTCACACTTACTGCCTTAACCACTTTTAAGACCGTAGTTCAGGATATTAGATACATTCACGTCGCTGAGCAGCCGTCACCAACATCCATTTACAGAAATTTTCTTTGTCATATAAAACAAACCCTAGGCCGGGCGCGGTGGCTCACGCCTGTAATCCTAGCACTCTGGGAGGCCGAGGCGGGAGGATTGTTTGTGTGAGCTCAGCAGTTGGAGACCAGCCTGAGCAACAGCGAGACCCCGCCTCTACTATAAATAGAAAGAAATTACAACGCGGTGCACCAGCGCCCCCCAGTGTCGGGGTTGGGAAGTGCGCCAACCTGGGGTTGCAGAAAACTCCACCTGCAGCCCCCACGGGCCTCCAGCTCCCCTCACTCTTCCCTCCTCCTTACCCCGTCCCGTCTTGGAAACCCGAACTCCAGCTGGGAGGTGTGCATCGCCCCCGCTCGACTTTCCTTCCCGCCTCTCTGCCTTTGCCCCCCGGCAGGCCCCTCCCCATTTTTAAAGCAGGAGGTTACTGCATCTCCTTAAGACCTACCTTATAGGCCGGGCGCGGCGGCTCACGCCTGTCATCATCCCAGCACTCTGGGAGGCTGAGGCGGGCGGATCGGTCAAGGTCAGGAGTTTGAAACCGGCTTCCACAAGAGCGAGACCCCGTCTCTACTAAAAATGCAAATAAATTAATTGGTCAACTAAAAATATATAGAACAAATTCCCCGGGCACGGTGGCGCGTGCCTGTAGTCCCAGCAGCCGGGGAGGCTGAGGCAGGAGGATCGCTTGAGCCCAGGAGTCTGAGGTTGCTGTTGAAGCTTTATTATAAGTACCGACACACTTACTGCACGAAACTACTATTTAAGTTACCTTGTGGGAATGTGAATCCTAAACACCGAGAGGTAGTCAAACCAACACCAAATACCCAGGATAAGTCCTTAACCCACACGCCTGCGTCTCCCTCGGAAAACGAGCTTTGGTATTCCCCACTGGTAACCGCCCATGTGAAGTGACTTGGCGCATTCAGGGCGTCACGCTGCAAAACAAACTCATTACAGAATTTTCTTTGTCATATAAACAACCTAGGCTGGCGCGGTGGCTCACGCCTGTAATCCTAAGCATCTGGAGGCGAGGCGGGAGGATTGTTGTGGAGCTCAGCAGTTGGAGACCAGCCTAAGCAAGAGCGAGACCCCGCCTCTACTATACAATAACAAGAA